CCCCGTTCTCCCCCTTCTTTCCTCCTTGTGGAATTCCAGCTGCATACTGGGGAGTCCAACAATTGAGGAATATTATGAGATGGCAGTCGAGGCAGATAGAGTTGGTGAGCAGCTTATGGAGACCGGGCTGCAGTCGCGAGTCGCACAGCAAGCGCTGGTACCAGGACGTGTAGTCCTCGTGAGAACAGCGGTAAGTTGGTAACACATCTGCTTGCTGCAAAACCCGTCCCGTGTACGAACGATGTTTGTCCGCTCATTGCCAACAAACGCACAACATGTGCTGCTGTTCTGTGTTGTGTTCTTTTGATCTTGCATGTCGTGTGTGGTGTTGTCTTGTGTGTTTGTGTTTGATGTTTCGTGTCTGCTGTGTGTTCTGTGCTGTTGTTTTCTTTTTTAGCTTGTCGGGTGTTGTGTTCTTTTGCTGTGTTATGTTTTTTTTTGTGGAGTGTGTGGTGCCCTTTCTTCTTATCGTATATGGTGCTGTATTGTGTTTGTGTTTGTTATTGTGTGCCGTGTATGTGGTCTGTATATTGTGTTTGTGTTTGTGTTTGTGTTTGTGTTTTTTTTTTTTTTGTTTGTGCCGGGTATGTGGTCTTGTCTTGTGCTGTATTGTATGTATTGCATTTGCCGTCGTGTACTCTGCATCTGTTCATGTCATGGAGGGCCACATCAAGTTGACATAGTGCAGCACATAACACACAGCTTTCATGTGGTGTGGTTGTGGTTGTGAGTGCCACTTTGCTTTCATGTGGTGTGGTTGTTGTTGTGAGTGCCACGTTGTATTGTGCTTTTTGCTTAGCGTATTGGCGAGCACACCTCCCCTCCACGTTTTCGTGTATGCCCTCGTATTTCTCTGCTTGGCAATTGTCTGCGACTCTGCATTTCATTTGCCCTCGAAAAGAAAAAGAATTACATGACAAAAGGTTTAGGCTCTTTAGAGTCTGTCCATGCATGGGATAGAGTTTCCTTTTTGTCCGTTTCGGGATTAAGAGTCTTTAAGACTCTTTATAGTAGTTTATAGTACTTTATACCCTTCAGGATTGTTTTGATTACCAGTTGTTTGATTTATGTTTAGGGTTACTAACTTCACTTAGATCGGTTTTCGTCGGTTTTATTTTTCTGTGTTGTTTGTGGGCAGGGGGTGAGGGGGGGGAGAGGGGATACAAGAAGGGGGGGAAAGAAAGGAGTCTGATACGTCATTGGGGAAGGAAAAAAAAGAGAAAAAAAAAGAGGGATTTCTCTTTGATGGGGGTGGGCTAAAGGTTTCCTTGTTGGTGGCTGAGAGGCAGGGAGAGCCATATCCTGTCTGATGGTACATGTTTTGGTCTAAGTTCTGCGGCCCCCTTCACCCCTTGCCGCCTACCTTCTCACCACCCGCCCTCCCCCTCACCACCCCTTCTATCCTGCAAAACAAGGACAAAAGGAAAACAAACCGAGCTGCATGCGATGTTCGGCAGTTTGCATCAAACGTCGGTATTAATGTGGTGCAAATATTTGCACAGTCGCAAAGATTTCTCTCAGTGTCAAGTCCTTTGCTTGGTGTGATCATGCGGGATCCCTCCTTGAGATGGTTGACCCCACCTGCACGTGTGTGCTGTCCACCAGGCCGTCATTCTCTCTCCACCTCAAGAGTTCACATCCTCTCTGATACCTAATCTTACGTCGTACGTCCTATCCCTTCTTTCCGCCTCACCCCTTCCGCCCGGCTTCTTCACTCCCTCTCCTTCCGCTTCACTGGGAAAGAGAGAGAAGGAAAAAAGATGGGTGGATGTGATATCCAGCGTTCGTTATGATAGTTGACACAATTGTTATGATAGCTGACGCACGTGTCTGGGCTGCCGTGCATGCTCAGGCTGAGAGTCCTTCGCTTGGCGTGATTGTACGGGGATCATCCGGCGAAGGCCAATCACGCCCGTACATCGTTCTTGCTCTCCACCGTGGCCCTGTTCCAGCATCTGCACAAGCGATGTTGGCTCCAGCCGGCCAAGACGTTGTTGGCGGTGGCGGCAGCGGCGGCAACAACTTTCCCACCACCCTTCCCGGCGATTCGCCGCTGGATGGCATGGCGATGATGCGCGTCCATCGGAAGGGCCAGAAAGACGTTGACTACAGCGTCTTCAGTGGTGGCTCGAAGAAAGGACCAGAGGTAGTGACAATTGCCCTCCCGCGCTATGGGGAGGTTGGAGGATCAGGGTACGTGGTGATGAATGTCGACAAGAGAGGTATCCTCAGCATTTGCAAGGCAAGAGTAAAAGTGGACACGTCAGCAATATTAGAACAACCACGACCAGTTGCATATGCGTCAGCGGTACAACAGCTAGAGCAGCTGGAACGGGAGAATCCAGGCCAAGATCCTGCAGCGCTGGATCCCGTGAAAGGTGTGGATATTATTATTTCTCCATCACAACCTGCATTCAGACGGGCATATAACGTTGTGCCCGGCACCGTCAATTTCTTCGGTAATTAGCAATACCTACTAATAAGTACTAATAACTACGTAATTGCTAATTATGGATAGCAAATATAAATACATTGAAATCAATCAAGTTGGATATTAACAAATTATAAACGGATTTGTAAATTTTGAAATTTTGCGAAATTAAATTTGTTTAAATGTTTTTTCAACTTTTTTGACGTTTTCTTATTTGGGATTCTGGAATGATTTCTACCTACTATATATTAGTTGTATCTTGCCGGTTGTAGACACTTGCAGCTTCATTTAAATGATTTTCACCAAACTTCTCCTTCCTCTGAAAATTCTGTGTGCAGCTGTTCTTAAGACTTAACCTTCAACAGAGGATTTGTGGTTTGTACTTGTTGAGAGGGCATAATTTTGGTTGGCCTGAATGTCTTGTGGACTAATATATAGAAATGAATATCCGTGACAAATAGATTATTAATTTATTAATTTAATATTTATCAATTTACTAAATTACTGGTAATTTAATATTTATTACCCCTATATGAAAGGACGCTAAGGCAAGGGAGGGGAAGAGAAGGGAACGGAGTTGAAGGGATGAGAAGGGAAGAGACCAGAAGGAAAGAGAAGGGAAGAGAAAGGAAGGGACCACAAGGGGAGACAACGGAAGGGACCAGAAGAGAAGAGAAGGGAAGGGACCAGGAAGGAAGAGAGGGGATGGGACCTGAAGGGACCAGAAAGGGAGAGAACTTAGAGAAGGGTTTAGCCGAGGTGGCCGTTTTACAAAACGGCTACAAGATCGGACTCTCTGAGTAGATAAGTAAGACTTTTTGCATGGGTGGGGGATTTTTTATTATTATTCTTTTTACAAAAAAAAAAATGTTGAGGTTTTTAATTGCAAAGCTGGGAACCGGGCCCAGCGTCCCTCACATCAATAGCCGTGCCGTGGCCCACAGGGATGAGCCAGCAGGCTCACTGGCCAGGCTTAACACCAACCACAGCAAAGAGCAAAAATCGACCTGTTTGAGAAGGGGTCCCGGTGTTCCTAACACCAGCAGAAAAAAATCAACTTGTGGCAGCTTACCAGTTACAACAATAACCACAATTCCTATACCTAGTGATCCAGCACACTCACTGTCAATCAATACATCTATCTACCATTTGAATGGCTTATACATTGGGTGGGGGGTTTCTCTTTGTTATACGGAATCTAACTTCCTGTCGGGGAGTTTTACGTTTGTAATTCGGAATCTATCCGGGGGGATCTCTGGCTCAAATTCTTTTTTTTTTTTTTTTTTTTAATTGTACATTCTTCACTTCTGCAGACCTGAAGCTGAACGATGTGGAGACTATTGAGAGGTATCGACGAAGGCAGGCACTGCAAGCGGCAATGGCCAGAAATCAATGCCATCGATGTCCAAAGCTGCAGGAACACTATGCGGAGGTGCGAAAGCGTGCTCTTCTCCGAGAACATGTCAGAGACCTCAAGTTCATCGTTTCGGATGCGAATCTGCAGCAAATGCCAGAGTTCAGGCAGCGGGTGAGACGGCCTTTTCCCTACAAGGGAACCACAATTTTGGACCATGTATATATTTAATATTTATTATATTCTGAATATTTAATATTTAGGATAAGAATGAATGAGGAAAATGAATGGTTTCAGTGTGCCCCCCGTCATGTTGGTCTTGTTTTTTTTTTTTTTTTTTTTACCGATTGTTTCGTAAAGTGCACTGTTTTAGTTCATAGTACTTCATACTAGCCTCATAGATATGTGAAAATATATTTCAGAAACTCTCTCGTTTTTCAGGATGAGTTTACGACAGTTAGCTTTGAGGCAGAGCCCACTGGTGCTATGCTTGTGCATGGAAGGCATGAACATGGTCGTAATAGTGACCAGGTTCGTACTTTCCTCCTAGCATCACTCTGGCACCTGTGATGCCTGACCCTTAGTTTCATGAACAGTCGTATGTTGTGCTATAGATCGTACTTTACCTTCTTGATCAGTATGATTCATACTTGCAACCGCGCCGTGTGGTGCACGGCATGGCGTGCGGCACAGCACCTGCCTGTGTGCCGTACCACCAGCAGTTTCCCTTTTATTTTTATTTTTTATGCTGTTTTGTACATACAGGAGAGTGTACCACCTCAGGGACAGATCCTTTTTAGCCTAAAAAAAAAAAAAAAAAAAAAAAAAAAAAAAAAAAAAAAAAAAAAAAAAA